CCTTCTTCATCTTCAGTACAATGGTTGAGCATGAGATAAAGTTAAAGAAAATGAAATACCACACTAAACACGAGTCTTCCCATATCTGATTTCTACTCAGTGTTTGTTCCAAGCTTCCATCAATTGCAGATGGCACATATGTACACTTTCTCATCCTGTTCCCACTTTCATGTTTCTCAGCTCAACCCCTTCAATGGTGGGTTAAATCAGCATGAAGTAAACTTAACTCAAGGACTAAATCTGGCTCTTAAGGGCGAACTGGTTGTACTGAAGAAATGCATACTCCTCAGATGATCCCTCAGTATTACAAGGATTTCAGATTTTCAAGCTATGCTTCTTACCTTTTCATTTTAGTTTTTCATAAAAAAAATTTCCTTATTGCAGAAGCAAATTGTCCCTCTTGTTTTCTGTGCTCCTCAGCTTTCCGTCTTTACCTAGTATTGTCGATATATTTTTTAAAATAATTTTAAAATGATGTCCATAATAATTCTCCCAGCATTGAAATTTTGCATAACCATAACCATTGTTCATTTGAAATGTGAGCCTATTTACTCCAAACTGTTTGATTCCAAAAATTTTCTTTTCATATGGGCCATTAGCTCATTTTTCCATGAGAAATACTATTCCACTGCTCTTTCAAAGGAATTTCAGCTTCTAGAAATGATGCTTTTCATTGCCTGTTTTTTCTTTCAGTTTCTTTTCCATTTTGTTTGGTTTCTTGGTAAACCTTCCTCAGTTGTTCACAGTAGTAATGGCAGTTTTGTAATGTGTAAGGATACCAGTATATCTATTCTATTGACAGACAAAGAACTAATAGGGTGGAATGGGAACTTCCATTTTTTGTTCAATCTGGAGAAATTCTGGACCCTTGTCCACAGAGATTTACTAAACATCCAGATAAGTGGGGTATAAACACAACACAGGTTTACTATAAAAGAGTCCTGGGTACCCTGACATAATTTTTTCCAAATATTATAAAATTAGTGTGATTATAGTTAAATACCAATTTATCAGTTTGTCAGCAAAGAACACTCAGATTACAAACTTTTCCAAAGGGAAAGTATACTTATAAGTTGCAAATAGGTTGGGCAATGCTGAGTAAGAGTGATACACTTAAACAGTTTTAAATTATACATAATTATTATAACTTAAAGCTTCTTTTAAAATAATCTTCTACTAACATCTACAAATTAATAGAAGTCCTTTGGAGAAAACCAGTTTAATATTTTTAAAAGCATATTACAAAGTATTGGTGTAAAGCTCCATGGCTATTTTTAAGAAAAAGAGAATACCAGACAGAACTCATATATTTATGTGCAATCCTATAAGACACTTAGCCATGTCTGTATGCTGGGTGCTAATAGTGAGTATATCAGATAGGCTTTTCTCCTCCCATACATATGTAAACAGTCATAATGTATATTTCAGAGTAGGTATAGGCAATATGACTAGGATTGGAAAAATTCTTTTCTGGTGTAGCATTGGGTGAGCCAATGAATTCTTTAAACCAGCTTTCCCTTTTTGGAAGAGGTTAACCTATCTCAGAGGGTGGTATAAGGAAAAAGTATCCTAAATATGAACTACTATCCAACTAAAATGAAAGCATAATCTGAAAGGAGCAATGCGTTAGTAATGCAGTTCCCCCATCATTTATTTAGCAACCATTATGTGCAAGGTGCTGTGTTTAGTTCTAGAAATTAGTATAATATAATTGGAAGGCAGAATATGTGTTCTTTGCTAGTGGTGATTTAATAAGTCCCATTTGATATTGAATTTATAATATATTTTATTCTGTTTGTCCTTGGAAATGGGCATAGGGAGGTTTTTTAAATTTCATTAGTGTGGTTCCCCATGCCCTCCACCAATAGGAGATGCAGTTCATCTGTAATCGATAGCTTTAGACAGCTTCATGAGACGTTGAAAAACTCAGTCACTTAATAGAGTGTTGTCAGTGGCAGAATTCAAACCCAGCTCTTACTGACTCCAAGGCCATTATACTATGCTACCTCTCACAATTTAATTATTAATCTAGCTAAATGCTGAGAAGTTCCCTCTTGGCTCACTGTTAACTTCTTTTTAATAGATTTTTCCATGGATTTCAGCATAAAGATATTTATTCAGAATCTATTAAGTAGCTTTGAACCTAAATGGAATGTCTAGTATGGCATAGCCTTTCCCTGACATTTATTCATTGCCAACAATTTTTAGTAAAATCTCCAGTATCATTGTATTGATTTTCTACAAATTATACAACTTAGTCCTAAATGTCCTCAACCCATTCACTCCCCAAGTATCTTTTTTCTTAGGTTAGGGCATACTGGTCACAACTTTCCTAGAAATTATTACTTTAACTCTTTAAAGTGTCAGTAGGAAAAGACAGCAGTCTAAGGTGATTATTGGTTTTAAAAAGAGAGAGAGAGAGAGAGAGAGAGAGAGAGAGAGAGAGAGAGAGAGAGACAGAGAGAGAGAGAGAGAGAGAGAGAGAGAGAGAGAGAGAGAGAGAGAGAGAGAGCGAGCGCTGAGATAATGTGGACAAAACCAAGGATGATGAAGCCCTTTCAAATGCCACATGGTTGAAGACTGTGTCATTATTTTGCATCCCCAGCACCTTGCACATAGTAGACACATAGTAAATAATCACTGAATTGAATTGGAGGGGTGGAAAAGAATGTTTCCCCAAAAAAACTGAATTGGTGCCTTTAATTTTGACTGGTGCCTCTCGTCCCTAAGTTAGAGATTTATTTACCATTTTTCTATTTGGAAAAAGCTGTTTATAAAACAATAGAAATTTTTTTTTTACTCTGTGAGCATATTTCTTCTGTAGGGCATGAAGTAAAGGGGGACCCAGATAACCTTTGCAATAAATATACCTTGGTATTCAAGGAAGCCATTCATTTCATGAGCACAGTTAATTAGGTGTTCCGGCTTCCCCGCTGTTAGTCTTTCTTGTTTGTGTGGTTAAACTCTTGGTGTTTTTTTTTTCTTCCTTCCTTATTAAGACCAAAGAAAAGACTAATTCCATGAGTTTCAATTGTATGAAAGCCCGTGATATTAGCTAGGGGAGCAGTGACCGAGACTGAGGCCCACAGGAGCCAGGTAGCATATTTCAGAGGGGAGAAGCTGCCCCGATAGCTTCAGGTCAGACAGTGACTCCGGGGAACCGCTGGCTGCCCTTCCTCACTGATGCCACTTTCTGCCTCCCAGCCCCAGACGCCATTGTCTGGAAAAGGGACACTCACAGCCTTCCCAAGGAGTTAAGCTTTGACAGAGCAAAACAAAAGACCAGGGAGGGGGAAACAAAGGGTTATTAAAATGCAATCTGGGGACGTAGACTAGAATTGGAGATGACGTTTTAACAGTGGACTTTTCTTGGGGAAAGGGAGGAGAGGCCGAAGGTTTTATTAGATTTGCTGAGCTTGGTGGAGGACCTATGACAAAGCTGTCTCTTTCAATTTATCCTTCCTCAGTTATTGTTGTTTATCATCTTAACCTCTAATCTCCATAGTACCTAAAAGAAAATATTTGAATTTTGCTTATGCAAATAGGATAGTTCAGGCTATTTGAACAAACCTCTACTAATCAGCTAAAAGAATGCCTCCAATAAAGGAGAGAAAGGCTGCTTCGTCCCTTCTCAGTGGGCTCACATTGTGCCTTAGTCGGCCAGTAGATGGCAATAAAGAACTAGCTCTCCCCCTAGCTACAAGCTATGAAGCCATCTCATTTTTCCCAACAGGAAGTGTCCTTTGAATTTTTCTAAATGAAACAAAGTGTACTCTTTTTTAAAATTTAAGCTTAAATCTTACACTTGTACCGTGGACACTAGATAAATTGTAATTTATAGTCAACATGCTAAATGCCCACCATGGCATGACTAGCACTGGTATCTAAGCATATTTTTTAAAATATCTTTGTGAATTTCTAGTTGAAAACTGTCATCAGCATTGCACCAATACTACATTTTAAATAAAGCATGCAGGAGCTTTTCTCTAAGGAAAAGAAATGGAAGCTATTGCCTGTGAAGACTTGGAGGAGGAGGGGAGAATAGAGCCAGAATATTTTTGTTATGAAATACTTTTTCATGAAAGTGGTTTGTTGCTTACTAACTACTGGCCCAGTTGCTAGGCTGTTGTTATTGGAGGATCAATGACTCTTAACAAAAAATAAGCCCCCCAAACAGACTGCTTTAAATAATATGCATACATAGATATACCTTAATGGACAAATGCTTTCTTTTGTCCTTTTTGTCCCAGGGAAAATGTGGTGAATGTTTTATGTTGTAACTTTGGACTTCAAACTATTATTCAGATTCAGGTATAAAGGAGAGGCTGTTAGTTATGGCCAAGTAGCCCTGCTTTTGAAAGTTAATACTAAAAGGAAGGAGAAAAGAAAGAAATTTGAGTTACTATTATCGATGGGGCTCCAAAATCCGATTCTCTATATCATTTCACCTTCCATGATTATGAAATAGTCTAATTTAAGCCGTGTGTGTATATGTGTGTGTGTGTGTGTGTGTGTGTGTGTACGCTGTTGTCTTAGGTGGGCTAGAGCTGATTTCTTTATTAAAGTTCCTCATTTAATTAGAAGATATGATTTTCCATTCTCTGCCCATACTGAAGAGCCTTTGATATATTTTCAAGTGAGAGTTACGTTATTAGATATTCAAATGAATGTGCTATGAGTACCTGTTTTAGGAACTATTTCAATTCAGAGTAATTGGTTTCCAATTTACCAGTATGTATAGAAGAGGTTAGTTCGTTTGGTTTTTTTTTTTATTTCAAATGTATAGATTGAGCATGTTAGCCAGCTTTCTGATATGAACAATACTAAATATGCTCACTAAATGAGGAACGGCTTGGTCTGGAGTCTTGATTCTTTAGCACAATGTCGATCCACTGAGTTGCCCCATTTCTCTCTGCTCAGCTGGACCACGGGTTTACCATCAAGAGATCAGGGTCTTTGGACTACTACCAACAACCAGGAATGTATTGGATAAGGTATGAGATGGTGCAGCTCCAACAGTCAGTGTTTCCATGGCAACGTGCTGGCAGTCTCCATTAACCAGTTCCTTGAGTGGATAAACATGCTTTTGATTTGTTATCCAGTCCATATGCTGCTTTATCAGTTTCATTTTAATCTTGATTGAGATGCCACACCCCCTCATTCCTTTTCTTCACCCATTATTCACACTGACATTGCCAGCTTTCTTTCCATTGCACATGCTCAGTATCAATTTTCCTTCCTGTTAAAAGGACAGTATATTTAGTGTTAACACCAAAGCATTTTCCCCTCCGTTACTGGTTAAAGCATCTGTTTGTGATGCTCTTCGGTCATTTAACAAACGGAGGAGCAGGAGTGCCTTAGTCTATCTTCTTCTCTTCTTGTACAAAATGTAGAATTATATACTGTCATTTTAAAACCATCAAGCACAATCTTTACCGTAGACTGAACAATGCATTTGCACATTTAGTACTAGAAGCTCCTCAAAGTACAATGAGTTATACGATGCATTGTGTGTATTGGTAAGCTTGTGTTTTTCAAACCCTCCACATTTTTTGTTACCTTTTTTTCCTTTTGAAAACCCTCTGTGTAGTAGCTATTGCATGATTTTTATTTGAACATTTTGTAACTGTCAGGGGTTGATTATTTTAGGTGACTTGATCTTCTCAATCAAAGGGGACTATGGGAGGTATTAACTTCTTTTTTTTTTTTTTGACTGGGTTAAGAATTCTACCGAGACAGATATTCTTAGGATCATTTTCCATGCCAGGCAGCTAGCTCTGGCATTTCCTTCAAGGGGCTATTTGCTATTTATGTTCCTTTAAGTGGTCCATGAGGAGGACTGGCTTTTGATAGCTTGAGAAACTAAATGAGAATCCCTAGTGAATATCATTCTCCTGCACCTCTTTTAAATGGAAGTGGAAGGATATCCATAAAAAACTATATAATGTCTAAGTTCAGTATGAAACGTTCCACCAGTTTTGTATTTCTGTAGCCAAATAGCATCTTCAATGTTTGCAGGATTGTTGTAATCTGCCTGACCTCTTTTCACCAATTAGACTACAACAGTCTCACCTAAAAATAGCAGCCCCTGCTATCATTATTACCTACAAGTGATTACTGCCAACTTTCCCTCCAAAATTAGACAGTTTAACCAGGGTACTTCGAAGAACGATAAAAGGCTTTTTTGACAGACAATCTGAAAAACACTCCAGTCATGCCTACTTCATAATTTAAAGCAAAAGAGACACAATAATCTTTTTTCCATTGGTCTTACAATGAAGTGTTATCTGCCCCTCATGGGCTAATGTGCCCATATGTCAACGCAGTCTTTAGTCAGCGGAGTGAAGTAGCTTAAATAGATGTGAGGAGAGCGTTGCTTTAAACCATTTTTGTTTTCTGGTGAATTCAATTGTGAGTTCGCTATGCTCCATCCCTATTTCTTTTAACTTGATACTGGGAAAAATAACATATCTGTGTTTAACTACACCTCATTTCCCTCAAATGCATTAACAACACATAAGAGAGAAATAGACAGTTCATTTAAAAGAGGAGTGTACAACCACTGTTGAGAGAGAGAAAGAGAGAGAAAGAGAGAGAGAGAGAGAGAGGGAGAGAGAGAGAGAGAGTTGGTATATATTTTTATGACCAAATGTGTAGATAGAAATCTTCCTAGTTCCAGAGAGAGTATAAGCTTCTAGCATCTGAAAGTCAGTATTAATAACCAAGCATGGTGTGCTGTTTCTAATAGATCTTTAGCAGCACCTCAATTTGGGATTAGGAGGGGGAAGATGAAGGGCAGGAGGAAGTCACCCAGGAAATAAATAAATAGTATAATATAGAAGAGGCCATTTGACTAAAATGCTTGTAATGATTTCCATCAGCTGACAAAATGACATATCCTTGAATAATGGACTGGAGCAGATGGGTGATAATCTCTTTTTTCTACCATACATAAACTGCTCGGTTTTCCAGCTGGGGGCAGTAACAACAATGTTTATAGTTAATGCTGTTCTGAACAGTGCACCCAGTGTGTAAAGCTAAATTGGGAAAATGATGCTAAAAACTCATGGGCAAATATGCTTAATTAGGAAGTTTTATAAGGCTGTTTAGCCACAGAGCTAACGCTGGATGGGAACTGATTGCAAATGCTTGCCTTTTATCTCGATGGAAGTGGGAGCATTTGTCTAACCACCATGGTAGCCAACTTTCTAACATAAACAATCATTACAGTAAGAACATTTTCACTCAGTGATTGTTATGTTTACAAGTGCTCATGGCTGTTGTAGACTTCTATAAGCAAAACACCAGGGAGTTCATTCCTACTCTTTGATAAACAGCTCACATCACTGCACATGGTGTGCAATCATCTCCTCTGTATGCCCAGAATTTGAATTCTCCCCTCATTTACTTGTTGGTAGATGCAGGGGAGAACCATTTCCCTCTTTTTCTGCCTAATCCTGCTCCTTAATGGAGCACCTGGCATTGTTTCGTGTTGGGAGCTGGGTGAGGCTTAACTGCAGTATATAACTCCTCAAATTAACCCCAGAGACCTTTCTTCTCCTGCTCACAGGCTAGACATCACCCCTGTAATGAGTTTCTTGTCCCATCTCTGGACTTTCAATGTTGAAATTGCCACCATGTTCCAGGGCTGTGGAACCACTAGAAGAGAAAACATTTTTGTTCTGTTACATTTTCCCCTTACTGAAAATATTCCTCTCTCCAGAGAGAGAAAGAGAGAGAGAGAGAAGAGAGAGAGGAGAGAGAGAGAGAGAGAGAGAGAGAGAGAGAGAGAGAAGTAGTCGCACACATTTATATATCTCAAGTAAAGCTGACACTGTGGCAGGTGGTGTAGCCTGGTAATGGAGTGGTGTTATAATGCACAGTGTCTTCAGCATGCAGAACAGCAAAAATACTAGAATCTAGCAACCCAATTAAATAAAGCAAATACAAAAATAAGACATAGACAGAACCACTAAATAAGATCAAAACATTGATGTTAACTCAATTCCCAAACATATCTCCAGCAAAATGTGTGTCTTATATTAGTGGATTATAGTAAAATACAATTGGTGAGGCTGGGCTAGAGCAATAGTGTGTCTTTTTTGTGAGGCTATTAAATGTTGTCATGCTCTGTTGTTAAAAGGTATGGATGGGGTCAAGAAAAAAAACCACATCTTACCCCGTGCAACTTTTAAAGAGTGGTTCTCGTAAAGCAGCGTGACTTTGCAGCTTTACAAAAGAACAGATCTGTGGCCAGCTCTGTTGCCAGCTATTGGACATCCAATCCCTAGTTGCAAAGTTGCAGTGAACTATTTGCTTTGGACTTCTTTAGCTCTTTAGGAAAGGAGCTCCCTGCTGAATGTCAGGGCATTGCTGGAAAGACAGATGCCTCTGCAGGAGCACGGGCACTTCCCAATCTCCCTCCACAGGGACTTAATCTGTAACAGGAAGTTTGGGGCTTTAATCTTGGCTCCCTGGAAAATGGAGAGTCGGAAGAGACTGGTGGGGGCCGCTGCTTTCTAAGGAAGCATTAACTTTCAAAGCCAAATTATGGCTCTAGACAAAGTCTCAAGATGGAGAGAAATGTTTAGTTTTGCAGCTGTGCCTTGACACTGAAGAGCAAGTTATTGGACTGAGATGCCTAGAGGGGTCAGAAGCACCATTTATTGCAACTTGCAGGGCCTTGAATGTTCAATAAAAGAAATGCTGGAATGGTGAGACATCTGCATTGCATTTTAACAAATCAAACAGGTTACTCACAATTTTCTGAGAGCCCTTCTTTATAGGGATCCCAGTAATTTGAAGATGTCTTTTCTTTGAATTGTGTGTTGCTAGGGCCAATCAGTTGCCATGGGAATCCAGTTCTTAATCCTTTGGGCGTAAGTACTATGTATGTGAAAATACTGTGTTTTTTTCTGAGATTCTTGATCATCTATTATTGATTCAAAATTGCCTAGAATCTTCTGTGATTTTCAGCTGTGGATCAAACTTTGCTTTCTTCTCTCACATTTAAAAGGCAAATGTAAGATTTTTTTTATTATTTATTATTTTACATTTTTTAACATCCACAGAAATAGCTTGTCTACTGACACAACAGAGCCTGTATCATAAGTGTTCTTGTAGGAAAAGCTCATCATGTTATCATTATGAAATGAGAGTAGCAATGCCAGAGAACATGTCCATAGAAATTAGAATACTGTCATTTCATTAGAGAACTTTTTGCTGCCTCTTTTTAAGTGAAACCTAGATTTCCCCTGGGGGTACTACATCCCTTGCAACTCTCCAGGTTACTCCTTGTTCTATTTTACGAGACTTACAGGCAGGAGAAAGGGTTGACATACTTTCTCATTCCCTAAAGGCATATTCACACCATTTTCCCCTAAATAGGCTTTCCTCTTTCAAAATTCATGTAATTAATGCACCCTCTTCCCCCCTTCTTTGCTGCTATCATTTGCCAGCCTCTAGGTTAATATCTCCCCTTCTTCAGTGACTTGAGCACACAGATAATATTTTCTTTCTAGCCTATCCCCTCTCTGTCTCATTCCCTATCATCCTACAGAATGTCAAACTTACATTGGTGACCATTCTTACTATGCTTATTCTCATAACCACTCATCCTCTTTGATTCTAACAGCCATTATCTCCAGCCCACCTTAGCCACACACCAGCATGTTTATGCCTGAGACCTTACCATGAATCGTAAGTATTCCTGCATACTACAATACCCCAGGATTCTGAGCTTTTCAATTTGGTTCTCTGACCAAAACTACTACTTCTACCTCTACCGCTCCTTCACTCATATTCCCTGTTCTTCTCCATCATAGTAAACCGCTGGTACTTTCCTGTTATCCCAGGCTATCTTCCCTACTCTGATTTTCCCTACTAATTTTTAATCTTACTGTCAACTATTTCAGTGATCTAGTGGACAGCCAGTCTAGAATTGCTTACCTCCTTGTCTTTCTGCCATTCTTAATTTACTCATCTTTAATCTACCATCCTATCACTAGTCCATGCCCACTTAAAACTACTGCGTCTTGCTAGAGAAAGTCACATAGTCAGGCTGATTTTATCCTTTCTAAATTGATGCTGTAGAGCCTCAGCTAGACCCCTGTTGCTGCTCAGCAACCCTATTTATTACTACTACTCTTATTAAATACTTAAAATGTATTTAAAATTATAAATGTATTTGTGTAGCTGTATACTAAATTCTAATAAAGATAATAATTGCCAGCATTTATACAATGCTTTAAGATTTCCAAAACATTTCACATAGATTATCTCATTTGAACTTCACAACCCTATGAAGTAAGGCATTGTTATTATTCTTATTTTACAGAGAGGAAACTGAGGCTGAAAACGGTTAAACAGCTTGCACACAGGGTTACACAACTACTAAGTGACAGGCAGGATTCAAACTCAGGTCTTCTTGACTCTAAGCCCAGTATTCTATCAGCTATACATGTGGCTGCCTATCTCCTTCCTCACACCCATAGTTCCAAGCCTCCCATCCCACCTCCTCCTTAGACATTCATATCAAGTGACTGCATGTCCTCCTTTACCGAGATCAAGATCTTTCTGTGTAAGCTTCCACAGCAACACTGATTAAAAATCAAATGCTTTTACCCGTCTGTCCCTCCTTCCCTCCCATCTCAAAGGAAGAGGAGTTCTTACTCTTTGCCAAAGCCAAATTGTATCCCCTAACACCTCCTCCGCTAACTAGCTGCGTCAATACTTCCTTCTCTCAAGAATCACTATCCTCATCTGTCAGCAAACATGCAACATTATAATGAAGAAACCTTCCCTCGGTTCTTCTGTTCCTTTAAACTAGTAGACAAACAGTCAGCAAGTATTTATTAAAGGACCTGCCATGTACAAAGCATTTCAAAAGGTGCTAGAGATCCAAGTCCAAAGAATGAAACAATTGCTGCTCATAAGGAGTTTATATTTCTAATTCTGATATGTCTAAATAGATATATAAGTATCAACGGCATAAATATGAAGTGAATAAATATATACAACGTAATTAAACACAAAGTGTTTGGGAAGGCACTAGCAGTTGAGGACATCAGGAAAGGCTTTATGTAGAAAATGGTCCTTTGAGCCACAGCTTAAAGGAAGAAAGAGACTCTATGAACTAGAGGTAAAGAGGGGCTGAAATCTAGGCATGTGAAATGGCTACTGGCATGGGAGGGGGATTAGAGCAAAAGTTAGTTTGGCACATGGAGGGCTTTAAATAGAAGGGGAGGGGGAGGCTGTTTGTTTACTCTGCGGGGAATAGGAAGCCACTGGATTTGATGAAATAAGGAAGTAATAGGATCAGATCTATGCTTAAGGAAAATTAGCAATAGTGTGTAGCATGGACAGGAGTAGGGAGGAATTTAAGTCAAGGAAATCTATTAGAAGACTGTTTCAATAATCCAAGTGAGAGGTGATAACCACCTGAACTAAAGTGGTAGCTGTGTAAATGGAGAGAACAGAATGATGGAATGTTGTAACTGTAAAAACAGCCAGATTTGACAAATGATTGCATATATGAGGTTCAGAAGAGTAAGGAGTCCAGGAAAATACCAAGGTTCCAAACCCAAGAGGCCAGAAAGATGGTGATACATTCAGCAGAAATAAAGAAGTTTAGAGTAGGAGAGGGTTTGGGGAGGGGGATATTAATGAGTTGAGTTTTGGACACATTGAGTTTGAGATATCTGGGACATTCAAGTTGAAATGTCTAATATGCAGTTGTTCCTGTGAAGCTGAAAGTCAGAGGAAAAACTGGGTCTAGATATGTAGATCTGGGAGTTATCTGTATAGAGATGATAGTTAAACCCATGGCTGTTGATGAAGTTATCAAGATAGAGTGTGTAGAAAAGGTTACCAAGAAAAGAGGGCTAAGGGCAGAACTTTGGGGAATATCTACACTTAGGAGACATGGCATGGATGATGAATCAATAAAAGAGAATGTGAAGAAGTGGTCAGAGAAGTAGAAGGCAAAATAGGAAAGAACAGTGTTATGAAAACCCAGAGAATAGTGTCAGATGTATTAGGTAGATCTAGAATGTTGGCTGGGAAAAGACCATCAGATTTGGCAATGAAGACCTGGCTGATAACTTTGGAGCAATTTCAATGGAACGATGAGGTCAGAAGCCGTATTACAAAAGGTTAAGAAATGAGAGGAGAGGAAATGGAAGCCATAAGTACAAATTTTTCCAAGAAGTTTAGCTAAGAAAGAGGTGAATGATATCAGATAATAACCTGAGGAGATGGTATGATTTAATAAAGGTTTTTTTTAAGGATGGGAGAGACTTAGGTGTATTTGAAGGCAGTAGGGAAAGAACCAGTAGATAGAGAAGCTTTGAAAGAGAGAAGAGCAGTGATCTGGGATGCAATTAGTTGAAGACAAGAAAAGATAAATATAATCAAGTATAGAGAGGTTGGCCTCAGCAAGGAAAATGGCTGCCTCATTATCAAAGCCTAGGGGAAAGGAAGAGAGAGTAAGAGATAGTGTTAAGGGGTTTTGAGATGAAGAAAATGGGAGAAAACGGAGCCTCAATTTTTTTTTTATCAACAAAGGGCAAGGTCCTTAGCTGAAAGGTGGGTTGAGGTTAGGGGACTTGTGAAGAGGGACAAAAATGTTTGGAAGAGCTTCTGTGGAGATCAAGATAGGGAATTGGTTAGAAAGGACTACCTTGATATAGTGAGGACCCAGATAGGGTTGGATCACATCAATCTATAATGTTCTTATTCAGTGTGATTGTGAGATTTAACTGCACTTGCATTCAGCAACTATTGAGTGAGAGCAGAGGAGGATGGTAGAAGCAATACAGAGCTAAAGTTTGGCAACAGATAAGTGGTGAAAGAACAAGGGGTTAAGGGATTTGAGAGCAGAGGATATATAGAGTTAAAATGGCTATTTATTGGGTTGAGATTGGAGAGGGAAGAAAGTAAAGAAGTAATACTGAGGGGTAGAGGGATTGGAGGTCTAGATGAGGACAAAGAATAGATTTAGGAGGGGTAAGGCATATGGCAAGATTATCATCAGACAGGGGAATGACATTTTCATCTTCCTTTTCACTAATACATTTTTTTTAAGCTTATACCCAGTAATTACATTTCCCTCACCACTCATTCAATCTTAAAGCCTTTGTGATATGATTTCTGCCTCTGTTACTCTAATGAAATCGCTCTCTCAAAGGTCACCAATGACCTCTTTAATATAAAATCCAATGACCTTTTCCCAGTCCTTATCCTCCTTAACTTTACTGTATCTTTTGGCATGGTTGACCACCCCCTTCTTTGTACTCTCTTTAATCACTTCTTCCTTGTCTTCTTCATTGACTCCCCTTCCTGTTCCTTATCTCTTAATGTTGGTGATCCCCAAAATTCTGTACTTTTTAATCTAAACTCTTTTCTTTGCAATCTTATCCCCTTCCATCTCTACTGGGATAGCTCCCAAATCCCCCTCATTAGCCCCGACCTCCTTCTTTACCCTCCAGGTCCACATTGCCAACTCACTATCAGATTTTTCCACCTGGATATTCTGTCACTAGTTCTAACTCATCATATTCAGAACCAAACTCATATTTCTCAAAAACAAACAATAATTCTTCATTCTGACTTCCCTATTTATGTCATAAGAACCACTATTTACTCAATTCTAGCACTGGACCCTTCAATGCTCTCTTTCCTCCCTTACCTTCCAAGTTCCAGTCAGTTGCCAGTCCTATTAATTTTATCTACTCTAGCTCTCACATTCATTGCCTCCTTTTTAGTGCCATTGTCACCATTGTAGTCCAGGTATTCATTGCAATTCACCAGGATTACTTTGAGAGCCCCCTAAATTGTCTCCCCAGCTCTAGTTCCTCCCTTCTAACATAGCCATAGTATTGAGAAAGTACTTCATTGTCCAATGATTTGATCACATTATTCCTACGCATTATTCCTACATTCATATTCTTTCGTTGGACCCTTCTTGACTACCAAATAAAGTCCTTGTCATTCAAGCCATTCCATTCCAGCATTATTTCATTCAACTCCCAACAAAGACTAATCCCTACCCTTCATGGCTGTTCTGTTCTTGTGGATCCCAGAAATTATGTAAATATCATTACCAGTGTCTGGAAAGCATATGCCAACCCCAGCTCCCACAAACACATACTACTGTCATCTTACCTTGCCTTCAAGATACAGCTCCCATGCCAACTCCTCCATGAAACCTTCCCTGATTCCTCCTTCCTGCATTAGAAATTACTCTTCCTTTTTCAGATCTTACATAAGTACCATATGGTACTTCTTTTATACACTTATAATTTGTGCCATATCATATTAAATATAAGCTCCATGAGGGTAAGGACAATGTTTCATTTCATGCTGACCCCTAAGGCTAGCTCAAGGGTCTTTAAAAGAATAGGAGCTTAATGAATGTTTATTTAAAGGCAGAGTGGTATAGTGGGTAGAGGAGTGGGATTGGAACCAGGAAGACCTGTATTCAAACCCTACCATACTCTTAGGAACTATGTGAGCAAGTCAATTAGCTTCTCTAAGGCTCAGTTTCCTTAACTGTAACATGAAGTGAAAACGAATGCCTGGACTATCTACTGCATAGGATTATTGTACAGCTCAAAGGAGATAATATATGTAAAACACTTTAACAAACTTAGCAAGACACTTAGTAAGACTTTTCTTTAAAAGCCCCATATATAAAACTCAGTTATTATTGTTAAATTTACCCTAGGGAATAAAGTAAATTAGTTGCACAGTCCAGTAGTTCTCAGTAGAGAAATTTGATGTGCACTAAAATTTTATAAGTCAAATAGCTAAGTTTTGAAAATTTGGAATTAAAGTAATCTAATCCATATCATCTATAAGAATGCTATTGTAAAAGCCATCTCTCCTGAAATCATGGCTTTGATAATTGAAACTAAAGCATCACATCCCCAGGTGATTTGTAATGTATTTTCCTTTTTAGTTTCACTAAGGATTTATGGTTATCAAAATCTCACTTCAAATAACTAAACTAAATCCTGTAAACACACATGCAAATATACTGTTGTTCAAAAGGCCCACTTCTGAAATGCTGTGTTAAAACTCTCCCGAGGCCATCTGTGCAGAAAGAAGTTATCTCACCTTCTGTGCTGTGCAGTGTTGGGCAGAGAGTCAAGAAAACCTAAGTATAAATTCCGTCTCAGATATTTACTGGCTGTGTAACTCTGGGCAAGGCACAGAAACTTTCTCAGCTCTGGTGTCATCATCTGTAAGTTAGAGACAATAATAGTATCTACCTTTTTGAGTTGTGAGTATCAAATGCGATGATGATGATGATGATGATAACAGCTAACATCATACAGTGCCTATTGTGTGCCAAGCACTGTGCTAAGCGTTTTACAATTATTATCTCATTTGATCCTCACACCAATCCTGTGAGATAGTGCTATTGTTATCCCCATTTTCCAGATGAGGAAACTGAGGCAGACTGAAGTTAAATGACTTGCTTAGGGTCACACATAGTTAAGTGTCTGAGGGCATAATTGAACTTGGGCCTTCCCAACTCTAGGCCCAGCGCTCTGAGCACCACAGAGTCACCTAGTACAAATCTTTTGTTGTTCAGTCTTTTTTCAGTCCTGTCTGACTTTTCTTGGCAGAGATACTGGAGTGGTTTGCCCTTTCCTTCTCTAGCTCATTTTACAAATGAAAAAACTGAGGCAAACAGGGTTAAGTGACTTGCCCAGGGTCACAAATCTTAAAGTACTATGTAAATACTATAGCTACTATTATTACTATTATTATTAAATTAAGAGCTGGAAGTGCCTTCTGAGGTCACCCAGTCCTAACACCCACATTTTATAGCGTAGAAAAGGGCCCAAAGAAGTGAACTGACTTGCTTGTGGCCACAAGGAGTCTTATCTAGAAAGTTACAAAGATAAGAAACTTATCTAGAATTCTAGCCCTGGTCTTCTGACTCTGAAGCCCATGTTTCTTTTGTAGTTTATACCACCTTTAGCAGTAAATGCATTCCTAAGCACTTATAAGTAAGTTGATAAGTTGTCAACTTTTAGAAATCTCTATGCCAAAGAACCTTTGGTTTACCTACTTTTATAAAATAATCCTGTTGTAATATGAGTTAAAGCCTTTAAGTTCGAATTCATGAGGTTTTTTTTAAAGCAAGGTACACAGGGTTCTTTTTGGTTTTTGTTATGAATAATAAGATAGGAACAAAATGAAAATTCCGATTTAGTTTTTAACATACTTCTAGAACACCTGATGCTCTGTGATGAAACCACTATGTGACCTTTCTTTTCTGAAGATGGGCTCAGAACCCTCCAGATATCACTAATGAAGATCAGTTACTGTCATTTTCATCATCTAATTTATGTATGTCACAAAATGATCGCATGTTTTTGCTCATTTGAGACTCTGGGTGAAGGAGGACTGTGGCTAAAAGACAGTTTTGAAAACATTGAGAAGCAGGATAAAGCTATAACCCCAAAATGACTTCTTATATAGTATCACCACTCCTGAAACTATCAAAAGAGTCAGTGGACTAATAATTCTGAATCTAGAAACCAGGTTAGAAGGTTTCTCAGTTTCGTTCTATAGAACCTCCCTGCTTACTGCATTAATGACCATTTCTATTGGAAAATTTCTATATCATTTACATGTATATACATTGTCATCCTTGGCAAGATCCCAAAGGGTGAGGGGATGGGGGAAGAAGGGGAAAGCTAGAATTTGAGTGTTCTCTTTAATAAATACACACACATATATACACACATATACATATATGTGTATGTATACATACACACACACACACACACACACACACACACACATATATATTCTTTATTCCCACTAAGTTCCCTCCCTCCCTCCAAATTTTAAGAGAAGCTAAAAGTGCTGTAAGGTCACATGAAGGAGAAATCAATAACAATTATTTTGAGGAAGTGGAGAAGAAGGAAGAATCAAGGAAGGATCCATGGAGGAGATAAATGAGAGAGGTCTTGAAGGATGGAGATTTCAACAGACAGAGAATAGTATAGTCAACAGAGCAATGAGGGAGAGAAGGAAATCTAAGAGTTAAATCTCACTTTAATATTAACTATCCATGTGACCTGAAGAGTCTCTCTCTCTCTCTCTCTCTCTCTCTCTCTCTCTCTCTCTCTCTCTCTCTCTCTCTCTCTCTCTCTCTCTTCTCTCTTTCTTTCTGTCACTCTCTCTCCATATATATGTATATATAAAATTTTAAGTACACATAAAAAATTAAGTAAATGTAATAGACCAAGTAGAAAATGAAGAGAGCAGAAATTTGGATAGATCTGTAGATTTAATTTTGCCAGCAAGTGAAGCATTTCCAAAATGGCAAGCAAATTGCAGCCATGTCCCTACAGATTGAGAGAGAGACTGGGAGGAAAGGAAAGGGTTTCTTAGATTAATGCATGAACATCTGCATCTATAGCTCAGTCTCCTAGGTAGTATGAATAATGGATGGGCTAAAAAGCAAAATGTACAATAATGTTCTTTTATTAATGAAATGAAGATTTTTGATGGCTAGCAATAAATTAAGAGGAAGCAAAAAAAAAAAAGAAAAAACTCACTATTTGCTTCTGAAAAATGCAGTTACTTAAATCCAATAAGTACTGACATGACAGAAAACATTGCCTCATAACTAAAAGGAGACTCTTCCCGTTGCAAATCTTGCATGCATCCCAGAGCAGAAATGCTCGTAGCTTGAAGGCTGAGAATTATGATTTTTGCTAAGAAAAAAGATTAGTGAGGTGCATAGTAGATAATATGATGATGTTAATAATTATTATAATTTTGCAGCAGAAAGAGACCTTAGAGATCTTTTGGTCCAATCCTCTCATTTTATAAAGGAGTAAATTGAGGCCCAGAAAGGATTAAGTGACTTGCCAAGACCACAAAGCCCATTAGTGGCAGAGTAAAGTACAATGATCTTTTCCTGACTCAGTCTAGTACTTCTGAAGGAATCAAGTTTAAAATGGTAGGTGTTAGAGAAATGTTTGCTAAGTAAGATCACAAAAAAAAATCACATAGCTAAAACATATCCTGTCTTGTGTTTTACTCATGTCCAAATGCTTTCCTCACTTGGACAGAAGGGGGAAATTAGACCTAGAGAGAGCCAATTCTTCTATAAATTAGACTCTTAGCGAATTGCCTAGAGGCAATAAGAGCCCAGGGTCACATAGCTAGTACACATCAGAAGTAGGATTTTTTTTTTAATTTTTTTTTGGTTAGGCAATGGGTTAAGTGACTTGCCCAGGGTCACACAGCTAGTAAGTGTTTTGTGTCCAAGGCCAGATTTGAACTCAGGTCCTCCTGAATCCAGGGCCAGTGTTCTATCCACTGTGCCACCTAGCTGCACCAGAAGTAGGATTTTTGAACTCATACTCCAAGATCCACCCTCTGTGTACTGCATGCCTGCCTCTTTCCCCCTCTATACTAGGTATACAGTACATATAGATGTATTATGTCTGTGAATAAGATATCCAAATATGTTGCTAAAAGCAAATATTGAAAGATTCCAGAATAGTTCATGTAGAATACCCAAGGCCTATAAACACCAAAAAGTTAAATGTTGATTACCATGGAGTAAGTAATTCTGTAGTTCTCAGTAGCTCATTCGTGAAGCAAACACTTTACTGGTACATGTCCAATAAAGTTCTCCGGTGCCTTATCATGGTATAGAGCTAACCCTGGATTCTCAAAAGCTATACCACAGGAGTGTAAGCTCCAGCAATATCTACCCATCCAGAAGGGGTTCAAGGTCGAACCCAAGAACAGACTACCTGTTGTTATCCAGAAACCAAATTGGCTAAATTTGAAGAAGCTCATCATTTTGTTGGCTGTAGGATGATGGATTTTTCTACCATTTTCTACCATGCCATACATAGCCAGTGTACTAAGGCCCCATGGGTTATGATGTGCTTCTACAATCCAACAGAATCACAGATCCTTAAAGCCCAATGTGCTATGCTAAGTTATGAAAGAATCACAGAGATAAGATGGTTTTCTGACCTCAAAAAGTATACAATGTTTTAGAGGGTAGTGAAGTGGGGATGAGACACACAAATAACTGTAATACAAATTAGAAATGAGGAAATCGAATTAAGCTAGGTCACAATTAGTAAAAATAATGCATCCCATGAAGTGGTTGCATGTATTTGAATTACCACTATTTGAAGTTATAATTATGTAAAATATGGTCGTTGGTTCTAACCCAATTGAAAGATACAGTGCAAATTCAAATAACTCCACTGCTTCATGGATTCATTATTCCCACTAAGTTCTCTCCCCATCCAAATTTTAGAAGCTACAAGTGCTCTAAGGTCACGTGAAGGAGAAATCAATAATAGCTGTTTTGAGGAAGGGGAGAAGAGGGAAGAATCAAGGAAGGCTCCATGGAGGAAGTATGTGAGAGGGGTCTGGAAGGATGGAGAAGATTTCAACAGATAGAGAACAGTATAGTCAATAGAGCAGTGAGGGAGAGAAGGAAATCTAAGAGTTAAGCCTCACTTTAATGTTAACTAGCCACATGACCTGGAGGAGGTCCCTTAACATCTCTGGATCTCAATTTTCTTACCTGTAATATTAAAACAATAATATAGAACTTGCCCTACCTCCATCACAAGGTTATGATGAGGATGTATGAGGTTGTGTAGCCATGTGACTTTGGCAAACCAATTACCTCGTCTGTACCTTAGTTCCTTCATCTGTAAAATGAAGGAATAGGACCAGGTGGTTTCTAATGTCAAAATCTACCTCCTTTGTATACGACTGTGGTCTTCAAAATGTTATGTGTCATAAAATGCAAGACATTTTTTAATAACCCATGAATCTGATATAAATTTCATTGTAACAACATAAGTCCTCAGCCAAATTACAGTAATTTATTATTAGGCTAATCTCCTGGTGATATAATCAGTGTCATGAAAAACTGCCTTTTGAATTATTTTCAAAGTACATCCTCATTTCTCTAAGAAATCCACTAGTGTTGGTGAGTCCATCCAGGATGCTAAAATAACTGGCTTTATATTGTTATTCTTCAGTTTTCATATTAGCTTTATTTTCCCCCAGACAGCCACTTACTCATTTCTTGTGTTAGAGTAGTTTTGTATGATATTTTTTTCTATGCAAGACAGTTGAATAACAGTTAAGTTATTCCCCATATTTTTTTTCAATCAAATATCTATTCTGGCTAATGGGCAGCTAAGTGGCAAAGTGGATG